TTTCAAAAATCCTGTTTCTTGAGTGTAGAGACAAAACCATATTCAAATTCCAAAATGTCAATCTCACTTATACTTATTAATTAATGCACAAAGTACGTTAATTATGACAGATCAGGGAGAATATTTGTCTTGGCTTATTTTGATTGACTTATTTCACTAAGCACAATGGATTCCAGTTGGGTCCATTTAGTGGCAAAAAATTAGATTTCATTTTTTATTGGCTGAGTAGTATTCCATTATATATAATTCATAATATAATATATGTAATATATAATTGGAATATATATTCTGATCTATAACATATAATATAATCCTTTCTATATTATATACCATTCCATTATATATAATAATAATCTAATACAATATCATATTTTCTTTATCCAGTCATCAGTTGATGGGCATCTGAGTTGATTTCATATTTTAGTCGATGGGAGTTGAGCTGCTATAAATATATGGGTGCAGATAATGCTCTCACATGCTGATTTCATTTCATTTGGATAAATTCCCAGGAGTGGGATGGCTGGGTCATGTGCCGGATCTATTTTTAGCTACTTGAGAAGGAAGACGAGGTCTTTCGTCAGAACTACTGCCTCGTGACAGCCAGTCACCAATCAGGCCGTGATCGTGTTTACAAGTGATTCTGTTAATAAGTCAGTGACAGCGCGTTTGGGTTACTTTTCCAGAAAAGTGACGAAGACAGGCATAGGATTTGGAAATGTTCAGTTTTAAGAAAATGACTTTGGCTCTTAACTCTTGAGTTCTGGAAAACAAAACAAAACAAAACAAAAATGCTTTAAAGAAGAATGATTTACACAGAATCCAATTCCAAATTGAGGCAAGGAAAACAAGTAAAAAAAAAAAAAAACCGAGATGATAACTCCTATCTCCTGTTTCTCTGCTAGTTTTCACTTTTGCTTCTTACTGTTAAGCGGTATAGACCAAGGTGCAATGAGTTCAGTCCCGTGATCAACTTGACCTTGATTTACAGGGAGTGTTCAAACACTCAATCCATCTGATTGCCACCACTAACCCAGCGATGGATTAACCAAGAAGTAGTTCCTGATTTCTGAGAAGAGAAATAAAGGGGGATGAGGAGGGTAGAGAAAGAGCAGGAGACACTTGAAAAGTGACTTTATTGTTAAAATCTTCACTTTCTGGAGTAGGAGCTGTTGGTGACCTTAGTAACAGTCCTAAAAATCAATTAAAGAAACAGATCTTCAGAAACCTTTCTTTGTGTCTCCATTATATAAGGTCACAAAAATGACTCATGCGAAATCCCTAAGCATTCATTGCTAGAAATACTGTACCTAAGGGGTTTCAGAAAAGCTTATTCATTTTATGTAAAAATGTTTTCCCCTTTATTAGATTTCATCTATTTTTTTTTTGCAAGTACTGGATTGTATTTCTTTTTATATTTTTTTTCTCCCAAAATCTTCCTCTAAATTTACTGCAGAAATGAACCACCTTGGTGTTCACTTGTCTTTTCCCTTCACTTAAAATGACCAAACTCGGAGTTCCCAAGAGCCTTGGGTTCTTTTGGTCACATCATAAGCAGACTGGGTCTGCATGCCAAATCTCTTGTCCTCCCGGGCTTTCACACCACGCCGTATTGTGTCAAAACATTAGCAATCCAGACTTGTCTATTTCACTGAGATCCCTTGGTCATGGCATTGTTGCCCGTCCAACTAGTCTAGTGCCTCCTCATCTACAGTTTTAGCCATCACCCATTGAGTCTGTGAGACGCGTGGGTATCAATACTGCCCCTTGGTGGCAGAGGAAAACATTTTACCAGTGAAGTTTGAGATTAGAGTGTTAACAGTGTTTCTAATCCCATGCACTTGAGGACACTGAATTCTACTTGTTATTTTAGCACATATGAATCATTTTATAATTTGAAAATATTTTTCTTTGTAAAAAAAAAGATTTTATTTTTATTTTATTGGAAAGGCAGGCAGGTTTACAAACAGAAGGAGAGACAGATCTTCAATTCTCTGATGGCCACTTCCCAAATGGCCACAAGAAGCCAGAGGTCTCTTCTGGCTCTGGCGTGTGGGTGCAGGATCCCAAGTACTTGGGCCATCCTCTGTTCTTTTCCTAGACTGTAAGCAGAGAGCTGGATGGGAAGTGGAGCATCTGGGACTAGAACTGACACTAATATGGGACATAGGTGGAAGATTAGTCTGTTGAGTCACCGTGCCAACTCCTCAAAATAGTGTTATGTCAACCACGATTTCTTAGTATGTTTCAAGCTAATTCTGTGATTTCTTCCACCCAAAGCAGCTTTTCTGGTCACATTAAATTTGAGGAAAGCTGTGTGTAGCCCAGATGCGCTCCCAAAGTCTACACAGAGCAACCTTCCAATTTCAGATTAGGGATAAGAAGAATCTTACATGTGGAATTCTAAGACCGCTGTTGGGGTGGGTGATGGAGAAGGTTTGGAAAGGGGTTGGAGGACCATCTGCATTCGTTGGTGGCTCCTCTGGAATTCCTGGAGTCTTCAGTTATCTCCTGCTTCCTCCTAGAAGTGTCTGGTGGAGACACCGTGCAAGTGACAAGCAGGATTGGTGGTCCAACCTCAAGGAACAACAGTTCAGATCCCCAGGAGGAATGCACCGAATGCTCTGGGTGCTCAGGTGGAATCCGCAGGAGGAATGCTGAGCCCTGGCAGGTCAGCAGGGCACTGGCTCAGCTCCCATTTCTAAGCTGCTCTGGAGAAGCAAGCGTGGAGGCCACAAGCATGCCCCTGACTGGATGGGGGATTCTGAGCCTGAAGCCTGAGGCAATTCCAACCCTGAAATCAGAATTAGGCTCTCCTTGGGCAGGACTCAAACAGAAAAGTGCTTTCAATCACAGTATCGGAATCTTAGTCTCGTTTTTGTCCTGGAAAGGCAATTTTAGCACTAACGTCTTTTGTGCCTCTCAGCCTTCCCTGCTCAGCAATCTCTTATCTCATCCACCCCTATGGAAACAGTAAGATCTCTTTTAGACATTGACTTTGAAGAAAGACTACTTTATAAAAACAAGTGGGGGGGGGGCACTTGAGGACTTGGTATAGTCAGTAGAAATGACTGACACACAGCCTGCCAAATGGTCTGATTTCCCTCATAATATCAACTCCTCCACTCAACAGTCTCTTTTCACTGACCAGCAATTTCAGGGGCAAGTTAAGAGTCAGGCAACCTGACTCTAAGTTTCAGCTCTCCCCTGCCATCCACACAATGATGAGACATCATGGCGACTTCTATTTTTAGAGAGTTGCAAGTGTTGTATCGGGCTGGTCCATAATTAGGCCATCTTCCTCTTCACCTCCTCTCTGCCACTTCCCTGCCCGAATCCTCCTGATATTTTATAGAACTCATGAGAGTCTGTGACCACAGTTGTCAGAAATCCTTCCACACCTAGACTTAGATGTCTTGCTGCTGAATTCTGCCCGCTGTGGATCTTCAGAGCCTGGATCTGTGCTGTCTGCTGACGCTGACACTTTCAAATCCTTTCCGAGTTTCAGCAACAAACTCTTCGTTGTCTTGTGCATCCCACAGCCTCATTCCCTTCGGGTCGCATTCTCTCTCTTTTTCCATGCAGTCTTAAACCACTGGGCTATCAGATGAGCAGCATGCTAAGCCCTCACCGCTTAGGCCATGATTGCCTCTTTCCATAAAGTAGCCATTTATTAGAATCAGTTAAGCACAGACTCTAGGGTTCTAATTCTCTCTTCTTTCAACCAAGAGAATTCAGTGGTGGATTTCAAATGATTTGTTCCTGAAACCAGTTCCTACTGTTGAGCCAGTTAGTTCAGTAGCCTAGAGGAGGGTTGTATGTTGCTTTCTGCCAGTCCCAAGGAAGCCAATGGGCAACCAATAAAAACTAAGAAACACAGTTTGAAAGATGGAAAAACTGAAGAAGGCAACATCAATGGGTTTCTGCCTAAGAAGAGTCACACTGGCCACCCCACCCTATGTTTGTGAACAAGCTACAATCTTCACTCTTTTTCTAGGGTAGGGGCAGTTTCCATGCACACAGGGCAAGGTTTGGGGAGGGGAGGTGGGAAATGATCTGACTTAAGGGAAAGTAGGGGGCATCCATGATGGATCCGAGAGGGAAAACGCCAGAGGGAGACCAGCTCAGTGGCGCAGGTAGAGGACACTCTTGCGGAATATGCCTTGCCCAACTTCTCTGCCTCCACCTGAGGACCCCAGGCAACCGAGGAGTGACCCAGAGGCACCGTGTGTCACAGAGAAGTCTCCCAGAGGACCTTGCCCTTCTCCTTTCTTTCGCCACCGGTGGTGGCCAGCACCTGTTCCTGGGGGCTCCTCTGCAAAGATGCTGTGGTCCAAACAAGGTCTGCTGCCACATCACCAGCCTCCTTTAATACGCACCGGGATCCGGGGGGTTGTCTCTGGGATCCCAGTGGGCGCTCTCTCACGCAGTACCACTCCCCTCCTCCCCCTGCAGTTCCAAGCTCTCTGCCAGCCACTCCAGGGGCATCCCAGGGTCGTTGCATCCTTCTAGCTCCTGGGTTCCCCCGCGACAATGTGGGGTGGCACAGGCTGGAAGATGCGCGCACCAGGGAGTGGTGTGTGTGTGTGTGTGTGTGTGTGTGTGTGTGTGTGTGTGCCGGGGGTCAGCAAGGGGGATGTGCGTTTTGCGAGCTTCAGCTGCAACAGAGGGGTGCAGGGGCAGAGGGAGGGGGCAAGGAGAGCTGCCCCCTTCTACCCCCAGGGTCCAGAGGGAAGGAAGGAGGGGGCCAAGCAAATAGGTAGGTAGGGAGGGGGCTGTGAGGCGGGTGCTCGGCGCTCCCCCGCCCTCCTTCCGGGAGCGGGGCTGCGGACTCTGGAAGTGGGGCCATCGGCGGGGCCGAGGCGGAAGGCAGGGAGTTGCAGCGCGCGCGGCGCGGCGAGTGGCTCCCGTGCGCGTACCAGGCGGGGGAGGCGGGAGGACCCGGCGGGCGGAGGAGGGGTGAGGAGGAGTAGGAAGAGGAGGAGGGAGAGGGCGAGGGAGAAGAGAAGGAGGAGGAGGAGGAGGAGGAGGGGGAGGCGGGGGAGAATGCCCGGAGCCGCCGCCGCTGCCGCCGCCGCCGCCGCGATGCTCCCGGCTCAGGAGGCCGCCAAGCTGTACCACACCAACTATGTGCGGAACTCGCGGGCCATCGGCGTGCTCTGGGCCATCTTCACCATCTGCTTTGCCATCGTCAACGTGGTATGCTTTATCCAGCCCTACTGGATCGGCGACGGCGTGGACACCCCGCAAGCCGGCTATTTCGGGCTCTTCCACTACTGCATTGGCAACGGCTTCTCCCGGGAGCTGACCTGCCGGGGCAGCTTCACCGACTTCTCCACGCTGCCCTCTGGAGCCTTCAAAGCCGCCTCCTTCTTCATCGGCCTCTCCATGATGCTCATCATCGCCTGTATCGTTTGCTTCACCCTCTTCTTCTTCTGCAACACGGCCACAGTGTACAAGATCTGTGCCTGGATGCAGCTCACCTCCGGTGAGTGAGGGAAGGAGGGAGGCAGTGCGCGCTCCTGACGCCGCGCGCCACCGCCAGGGACCACCCCGGGGTGTCCCGGGGCGGCCAGGGGGAAATGGGGGAGCTGGATCACGAGGAGCCCTGCGAGGCTGGAACCCTGGGCAGATGGGGAGCTCCCCACAGCCCGGCCACTCAAGCCTCGCTCCCTGGCTTTCGGGGACCCCTGAAGTGCCGGGGAGCGCCCCCACCCCATACATGCACACACCCCTCCAGGGGACTTGCTGGAGATTGGGCGGCTCTGGAGCTGAATCTGTTCAGAACTGAACATAAGGGGAAGGAGAGAGGCTTAGGGGTTGACCCTGCGAGGTGAAAGAGGATTTGAAGGGGCTGTGTGGCTGGAGCAGCCCCTCCTCTCCGCCCCTGGCTGGCTGGGATTGAGTGTTCGCTCTCTTCACCTGGCTGGGGACTGGGTCGAAAATGATTTCTTTCGGCATCTGACCATCCACCTACTAGACGAATAAATCCCAAGGCTGTTGTGGGGTTCACCCTTTAGAGGGGAAAAAAAATGTCTCTTCGAATCTTCCCTCTGATTCCTCCAATGTCAAGGCTTCGTTTTACCTTCTGGTCAAACAACCAGAGGTCCTGCCGCTTCGGCTGTCAGCACAGAGGACTCCCTCAACTCTTCCTGGGAGACGAGGCCAGTGAGAGGAAAAAGCCTGCTTTATTAGTGGCTCTGCTCACTCTTTGCCTCTGGACCCTAGGTTGTTGCTAACTCGACAATCTCGAAGTACTTTCTTTCCTTTTTTTTTTTTAAACCCCCCCCCCCCCCGGAGCGTCAAAGATACCTTTAACTCAGAGGGGATGGGAGGTACCTTTCCTGGTGTCTTTGAAGAATCCCCAAACAGGACTGACTTTTGTACTTCCTCTGATGCTGGGATGCCCCGCCTGCCAGCCGCCTTGGGTGCCCTCCTTTCCCCAGCCAAGAGTCCTTGGATTCCTTGGCACCTGGCTGTTGCCACATTGTTGAGGTCCGTTGGGAGGTTTTGGGAAGGTTGGTCTGGGTATGGAGCCCATATTCCTCTTTTGTGCGTCATTTGACTCTTTAAAGACGTCGGTTTCAAAATGCTGCCCTTTGTCCTATTCCTGGGAAGGTGTCTTTTCTGCAGAGTTGGGATTGTGTGTCTCTGAAGGTGCTCCAAGACAACCTTTAGGCTCACGGGGTTCGCAGATTGGAAGGGCTTGGGGGAGACCGAACTTGCAAGTCTTCAAGTGATTGTTTGGTCCTGAGAGGTGTCTTGGTTAAATTGTGATGTGCCAGTCAGTGGAGGGGTGCACACACTGGGGCGGACGTGGGCAGCAGCAGAGACCACTCCTCACCCCTCCATGGCCCCCTTTCCCTTCCTCAACCCCCCAGCTCCTACAAGAGCTCTCTGGTTCTGTGTATGGCGTCGTCCCTAATGGTAAGTTTTATGAACCTTTCAAGGGCAGAATCACTTGGAGAATTGAAATACATTCCTCCGTTTTGATTGTTTCCGACACTTATCTCTGATTTGACTTTGAAGAGAACAAGACATTCAGGATGCAGGTATTTGAGCAAAGAAATTGACCCTGCGCAGCTAATTTTAAATTTTTTTTCCAAGTTAAATGACCTATTTAGCCCAGTAATTTGAATGAGATTTTTTTCTTTAGAGGTCTGGAAGCAATTTGCAGGCAGGTTTTCAACGTCTTACTATGAAACAATACTTTCTTTTTATAAAATTTCATACTCCAAAAGCAAGTTTTTTTGTTGTTTTTAAAGGAAAGAACAAAGTTATCTTTTGCAATTACTAGCTTTGAAGTTAACACAAACTGCAATGATTGCAGTGTTTTATTTTTTGCCCTCTCCCCCCCCCACACACACCCCCGTTCCTGGAATAGAGCACACAAAAAAATCCCCCTTATCCTGGGCCGGTGAAACTCAATGTCATGCTTTCAGACATTGTACGCAAATACGCCATCCTGTTTTTTTATGCCACGCAACATGACATGACAGCCTGTGTACAAACCAAGGTGATAGAGACATTCACCTCATTTCAGAGAAGTCTGGATTCTAAGCTGGTGTACTTTAAAAAAAAAAAAAAACTCTTTTATTTGCAATGTTTGTGCTTTTACTTCTTGGCAAATTCTGGAATGTGATTTTCTTTGTTAATGAAGTATACTTTGAAGGGAAGGATAGATGATCAGAAATGGATGAAACAAGCAGCAAAGACAGTTATATTAAGAGGATTGCTTTTTAAGGAATGGGTTGTGGAGCATGCTTCTGTAGAGTGTCGCATTCGACGTGCTTTTTGAGGTCTACGTCTCGAAGTCTCATGGCCACTGACCAGGTACTTTAATAGAATGCATGTGATGTTTCTTCGAAAGCTTTATTTCTAACCTGGAGGTTGTTTCTCTTTAATATCAGGTTTGGCGTTTCATATTCATAGTTTAACGGTACCGGGTCTAACATCAGGCGTAGTTTGGTAAACAGGAAAGATGACAGTGTGTCATATGACTGTCTAATCCTTATTGAATTCAATGATTAACTTGCATTTTTGCGATTTAAGTGTTTAAGACAGTAACGTCATAGGTTAGAGCCCAGAATTCTATAGAATCTTGTATGAAATTATAGTAAGCTGATAAGACGGGTGACTTTCTTGAAGCCATCCCAACATCAAGAACTATTCCTTTTATGATCGTGAACCATGAAAATGATTTTACTGGACATGAAAATGGTGCTGCGCATCTACCCATAGGTGGGAAGGTGGGAACACCTACAACGAATGGCATGAGGACGAACACATCGCCATCCCCTTCTCCCTTTGATCGGCTTCCATCACGTGAATCTAGGTAGCTAATATGTCTATCACCTTTGGGCAGGATTCTGTACTGATGGGCCATGTGCAATAGAAAGAGCAAAGATGGAAGAAGAAAAAACACCATCCGCAAATAAGGTCAATCACGATCTGCTGAAACACAGAACTTTCCCAACCTCCTGAGGAGAGAAGAGACACTTCTCTCTTCTTTGTGATTTCCCTAACACCAGGGAAAAGATCTCTAAGTGATAAATCAGCATGGGCTTTTTGCGTGAATCAGCATGGACAAGGAACTTTGCTTCTCTGGAACAACTTGATTCTCATTTTATTTCTAGGTCCCTGTTCTCTTTAAAGGAATGCTTCTGAGTATCTTCTAAGTCTGCTCAGAGCCAAAACCCATAAAAATGCTTTGTTTGAGTCATTTTATTTTACTAACTCTAGGCCATCCGTTTGAATTTTTTTCAGAAGCTCATGCATTATCTATCAGAGCTCGACATTCATTCATTTATTTATTTCTCTCTCTCCTTCTGTCTCTCTCTCTCTTTCTCTCTTCTTCTTCTCCTCTTCCTCCTTTGTTTTCTTTTTTAGCAAAAATATTAAGGTGGAATTCAAGATTTCCTAGATGTTCAGTAGGATGTCTCCTCTAAAATTCATATTGAAAATCTCTAGTGTAGCAAGATTTGAGAGGTTTAGTCTGCAGGTGGTAATTGAGGTGTGGCTTTTAGGTGTCTTCAGTGGAAGGAGTTTTCTCTCTCTCCCTCTCTCTCTCTTTCTCTCCCTTCCTTTCTATCTTTCCCTCCGTGTGAAGATACAGTTCCTCCGTTCTAGAGGACAAGACCACAAGACATTATCCTGGAAGAAAAAAGTAGTCCTCTTTGAAAAGGAGATGCCAGTACCTTGATCATGAGCTTCCCAGTCTTGGGAACTGTGAGAGAGCAAGTTTGCATTGTTTTATTTTAAAAAAAGACCCACTTCCAGGTACTTCCAGGTATCTTGTTGTTAGCAGGATAGTGGACTAGAGATCCGTCATGAATGACTGGGGCAGAGGTAGCAGATAAGGAGCCAGTAAGTGTCATCAGTGAAGAAAGGACACTGATTTAAGGTTGAATTTCCTTATTCAGGAGGGATAGAACAAAAGTGGATTGTATCTCCTCCTACCTCCTGGATTTCTCATCACTTGTCATTTCGGTTGTACCGACTGGAAGGGCCTCCAACAGCATCGGGCTTTGTGGCAAGCACAAAGGGTTGAATTTCTTAGTTTAGCTCAGTCTCCAAAACTTTTCCCACTGCATACCCCCATTTCAAGGTATCCTGCTTTTTCTTATATAAGTCACTGGTGTTTGAAATTATAGAGTGTTTGTGCATTTGTTGAATGATTTTCCCTTCAGTCCCCTTGGAATTTTCTTAGACTTTATCTATTTCTCTTTATGTAGTCTAGAGATCAAGACATGAACAGCAATCTTAACAGAAGTGAGCTTGAAGCCTGGCTCACACACTGTGTGACCTGAAGCACTCATCTTTTTGTCTCTCTGTTGCCTCTCTGCAAATAGGCTTGTGTATAATTGTACCGACCCCAGGCTCTTGATGGCAGGATTAAGCGAGCTAGTGTTTCTATCTAGTTGTTGGCTGATAGTCTACAACCAGGATATGGATGTTGGGTATGACCAGCTATCACTGTCTTATTATTGACATTGCTATATCATGGCACCGAGTAATATGTTAGGCACATGGAAGGTATTTGATAATGAGTGGATAATGAATTGCATGAATGTAGATGAGATGAATGATGAATGTGATGAAGCACAAAAGGAGAAAGGAGTTGATTTGAATTTCCGTGGGCCATGGTAAGAAGTGAAGGTTCCACACTTTCACGGCCCTATTTGGTTTTTAGAATCAACAGTAAGCACAATGAACAAATTCCTCCGTATTCTTTGATGGCAATGGTTGTGACTTGGTGGCCTCATTTGTGACTAACTTTTTTCCCCCCCAAAGGAGGCTTTTTATGATGTACAGTGAAGGATCTTTATCATAACTTTGATTACATCTGAAACCTTGGCAGATATTCACCTGCCATTTGATTTCTCAGGAAAAAGGATTTGCATCCTACCAAATGGTGGTAAGAAGCAGGAGACCCTGTGTTTGTGAATAGCGGTACCTGCTCAGGGTTGAATTTCGGTGTATACTTCT